AAATTAATCGTCATCAGTAATTTTGCTCGTGGTCCAAGATTTGAACGTTTTTCCAATCCATGTCATGTCCTTCGTGTTCTTTAATATGCGCTGCTACGACCGATTTATCCCTGTCCACGTTGTTATGTTCTCTCATACGGATTTTTAGCATCCTTTTTGTTTGCCCAACATAGCTTTTGTTGCAACTTGTGTACTGTAGATGCTATACCACTCCTGTTTTCTCACTTTTATCAATCTTGTCTTTTCCTAGTATTATAAGAGAAGTGAGTGATTCACTTTGAATCGAAATGACCCTGATGTTATATTTTCTAGGCATTTTGGCCCATTTGTCTTAGAAAAGGTTGATATACGCAAGTCGTGTACTATTATAAATGCGCACTGCAGATCAAGCCGCTACTTAGCCTAGCTTTGCGGATCGCGCCGTTTCTCAGCCACGCTGTGATCTGGCGCCACTTCTTATCCGTTTTGCAGCGGCGGTCCCCACCACTGCCGCGGCGTCGCGCGTGGTCTCTTCCTCGCTATATAAGCCGGCGCTCCGGGCTGCTGCGTGGATTCGCTCGTGAGTTCTTGCGCTAAGCACATCCCTCGAATCTACGGAGAAGTGCGGGACTCTCGGTATAACAGAGTCATCAAGACCCAAGTGACGTGTTTTCTCTCGGATCACTGGAGATCACACACATCTCTCGGACTTCCAGAGATTTTACAACTCCTCGAGTTGTCAAAGTTTTTGACTGGATAGGGACAAATTACTTTAATAAAAGTTAGCTTTGTTTCTCCACTAAACGACCTTTTTTTCATTTACCGTTCTCCTCTCTCCCTCTTCCCGCTTCGGCCACTAGGTGACCTCGACCGCAGGAGTAGCTCTCTACAAGCAACATGTCGCTGCCAGAGCTTAAGAAGGAGACTTAAGGGGTCAAAGTTTCGACTTGCTCTCGCTCTAGAGAACTCACCAGCTTAGCTCGGATTTCTAGCTCGCTTGGACAAATTCTCTTGAGTCTCTCTATACCGCTTCAATTTAGGGAAGCTGGACAAGTTACTAGCTCGAAGAAATCCGAAGCTAGAGTCAGAGAGAGGAGTAGTGCGCTGCGTCGCATCCGTTGGAGTTGTTCCGAGTGGCAACACAGCATTGGTCCGAGGCAAACACGAGGCATGGCGTCTACACGACGACGTGCCTGAGTCCAATCCTTCAGACGGAATACGAGATCTCCGTGACCGTCTGAATCGATTACGTTTCGCCTCTCTGTCACCTAGTAAACTTCAGTAGTAAAACATTAAAAAGGTAGACAGGTTATCCGTCCCCCATTGCATAAGCTTTGTCGGATACTGCACCGTACTTATCAAGTGTGGGAGCTTCAGAGTCACGTTGCATATAAAACTTGACCTTGGTCCAAGGCAAACTCTACGCTCGCACTCTGCGACAAACAGTACTGGTGGCGCCGGACGGCAGAGTTTCCGAACTCACGTCTGGCAAGCCCCGTTCACAATGCGCGAAAATAATTTTAAAATTTCTTGATATGATTATCTTGTAAAATGGACCCTTTTATGTTGAACATGTTTAATAAAGTACTTATTTATTCTATTTTTGTTGTTTTATTAATAAATTATTAATATACTTAATCCTTTTCCATAAACCTTGTCTATATAAATAAAGCAGAAAGAACGCCTTCATACGCAATAAGTATACATCGCGGCTCTTTTGTTTATCACTTGCACGCAGTATACAATAAACGAACTACTCCTTGTCAAGTCAGTGCCACTGTTTTCGTCATTCGTAAAAAACTGCACACATTAAGAAAAAGTAAATTACGTGAAATGAACAATAAAGTGTACTTTGTATCAATTTTTATCATTGGTAAGTATGATATATATTTTTAAGAAAAAATCGTATCGCATCTATCCATATATTAACTTTAAGATCGCAATAATGGCAAATCATAGGCTTCAACGATATCGTGCTGAATGGAAAATGATATTCAGTTTTGAGATTGGCTTCGACCCTTCGAAGGATATGAATATCGGTCATATTGCATTGTTTGCGAATAGGATTTTTGGGCATCGCTAAGAAATGTGGAAATTCATGCTGAAAGTGGGAAGACATGTAAGAATTATTGAGGATATAAATGGTGTCGTAAATGAAAATCGAAGAATCAGTGCTAAAGTGAACGCAGCAGTAATTAAATTAACAGCAGTTTTTGCTGAGCATAATTTAGCATTTTTGTTGGCGAATCATCTGATCACAATAGTGACAGACATCAGCGCAGATGACGATTGCAAAGAGATTTGGCGAAGGCTTGTGTTTCATCGTAAGACGGTGCTGAAAGTATTAAAGAAAAGTCTAACTCGTGCATATGAGATAGAATTAATGAATCATCTAACAACTTCTAACTTCGGAATAAGTTTCGATGAAACGACTGATATTTTGGCAGTACACCATGGATGGATCATCGTAACTTATGTTGATTATATTCAGAAAAAAATTATGACATCTTCTTGGGAAATGATTGCAACACTGGATGAGTAATCATGGACACGGTCAAGCCGATTGTCGAGTATCCGAGGCCTGAAAATGTGAAAGAGTTGCGCCGGTTCTTAGGTATAGTTGGGTGGTACGCGCGATTTATTGAGGAAGATGCAGACATGGAACTGCCTTTATTGTAACTGTTGCGACGAGATTATGTGTGGACTTGGAGGGAGGAACAAGAAGTCGCCTTCGAGCAGTTGAAAAACGCGTTAACATCCGCTCCAGTGCTCACGAGCCCAGATTTTTCGAAACATTTTATAATACAATGTGATGCGAGCGGAACTGCACCCGGCACAGTCCTCGTTCAAGAGGATGAAAAAGGTGAGCATCACATCGTATATTTGAGTCGCGTGTTGTCATCGCCAGAGAAAAACTACACTTCCGAAAAGGAATGCTTAACTATACTGTGCGCCATTAAAAAGATGCTTCCTTACGTATAAGTTCACTGTGATAACCGATCACAGTGCTCTCACGTGGTTGAAAAATTTGAAAGATCCGACAGGTAGACTCGAGAGATGGGCATTGCAAATACAGCAGTGGCAATTTCGTGTCGTACATCGTAATGGATCGATGATGAAGGTGCCAGAGGCATTATCGCAAATAAACGATGAAAATATTGACGCGTCAGAATAGATTACGGAAGTGGCGGCCTTATCATTCGCGCAAGAGGTGCCAGATCCGTTGTATATTAAGATGCGCAATGAAGTCGCGAAACACCCGGATAAATCGCAATTGGAGAATTGATGGTGACAGACTTTATCGGTATCGTCGCGATCCCTTAATCGATGTGATAGTTAATCCGGAGGAGCATTGGCGGCTTGTCATGCCAGCCGAATTTCGTGAGCAAATCATGGAAGATGCACACTGTTGTCCGTCTAGTGGACACTGTGGCATCGAAAAGACTTATGACAGAGTCTCGCGAGAATATTATTGGAAAGGTTACTAGTATGATATTTTCGACTTCATACGCACGTGCGATGATTGTTAGAGACATAAGGATATCTCTAACATATATAAATTCAAGGCTCCCGGGCTAATGAGTAGTTGCGTCGTAGAACGACCTTGGGTAATTGTTGCGTCAGATTTATTGGAGTTTCCTCGAAACAAATCTGGGAACAAATATTTAATTGTTTTCCAAGATTTATTTACGCGGTGGATCGAAGTCAAGCCTCTGTATAAGGCTGATGGCAAGAGTGTCGTGACAGCTCTAGAGGAGTTAATTCTTTTCCGTTGGGAAACCCCGGAGTACTTTCTCTCGGACAACGGAAAAGAATTCGATAACAAATTACTCGCGTCAGTTTTGCAGGAATACGGAGTCAAGCATGTGACAACCGCTATATATCACTCTCAGAGTAATGCTGTAGAACGCAGTAATAAGACTTTGAAAACTATGATTTTGATCTTCGTGAAGAACGATTATCGAGACTGGGATCTGCATGTCCATGAGTTCAGACATGCGATGAACACAGCTGTGCAAGCGAGCACTAAGATGTCTCCAGCTTTCTTGAGCTACGGCAGTCATCGGACTCTGGTCAAAAGTTTGTAAGAGCCAGTTAAGATAGTCGAGAGAATCAACTCGCAACTTTGGGCCGATCGGTTGAAACGTCTGAATCTTCTGCGAGATCTAGTGACTAGACATATAGATAGCGCGAGAAAAAAGCAGTCGCGCGAATATAATAAAAAGCACAAAGATATTCGGTTCTTTGTCGGAGATCCAGTACTGCATAAAACGCACTTTTTGTCAGACGAGAGTAAGAACTTCGCAAAATACATAGCGCCAGATTACGACGGGCCGTATAATATAACAAGTGTATTGTCCGACAACATGTATGTTGTGCGCAAAAGCGATGGCGACGACAGACAAAAGACGAAAGTGGCAGTAAGCTACTTGCCCTCGCTACAGAAAACTTAATTTTTTTTAATTGTTTTTGAAGTAAAAAAGTAAAGTGATTAAATCTAAAAAAAGGCAAAACAAGTCAAAGGAATGAAAAAAATTGAAGTTCAAGCAAGTCACAATGTAATTCGAAAAAACAAAAATTCGTAATCGAGAAATGTTAATAAAAATTTCAAATTGAAAATTTAATTTATTTAATTTGAAGAAAAGGACTCTTAAGTTTCACTTCTGGTGATAAGATTCTGTGGATTGCATTGTATACTAGCGGCAACCCCGGTTGCAGTATGCTGAGCGAGAGAATAAGTCGTACCGTTTGATAATTTATTTAATATAGAACATTATTATATCTATGCTAATGGAGCTTAGCAAGGAACTACACTGGGGAGAAAGTAAACAAGGAATTAAATAATCTGTATATAACATAGAAATATATCATTTTATGATTAAACCACGAGTTTACATATTATTTATTAAGATATTTTTCATTTATATAAAACATAGTTGATACATTGGCGAAATGTTCTATTTGTATATGATACCTTGTGTTTCAGTTTTACAATGTCTTTAACTTGTCGTGATGATAATTTACCCTGCGCTTATCTGAAAATGAATGAGTATTAATATAATTGGGCTACAGATTTCATATTAATGAAATTAAATTGTTCACGTAATGCTGCATTAGTACGTACTTGTGATTTTTTTCTCAAAGTAGATAGGAAATCAATTTTTTTCAAGGTTGTACTAGATTTCCCTATTGCGTCAAATCTTTTTTTATCGTAAAATCGAGAGAATACCATGTCCTTTAACGTTCTTACTCTACTGAGAGCTACATATGTTATTCCGGCCGAAAATTCTCTTTCTCTAATATCAATAATAGCCGTTGGTAACGTCATTCCTTGAGCCTTGTGAATGGTATACGCATATGCCAATTTCAACGGGAATTGTTTGATCGTACATATTATTCCTCGTTTTTCATACGATCTCGTGACAGGTTTGATCGGAAATGAATTGTCATGTATAAATGGTCCATGATACAAGGGAAACTGAATTATAACGTAGAAAGGCAAATTTGGCGGAGATACATTTTCTTCATATAAAATGGCCCGAACTGTACCAATTGATCCATTGACTAAACCGCCATTGACCCATATATTTTGAGTAAGCATAACGCGACATCCTATTGCTAAATATAAAGATGGAGCAAGGCCGCAATAATCATCATTCACCTTATGTACATCTCCATTAATTTGAGCGTTAATGCACAGAACAGGTGTACCCAGTTCACGTAAGCAACATTCATTTTGTTGTCGAACCAAGTCATTTGTCGGTATTAAATGAATTGCTCCATCAAATCTTCTCTTTTCAGTTTCATCTAATAAAGACATTTTACGCTGCGATAAAATGTTGTATTCGTCTACAGAAATATCTCCGTTAGCCAAGTTATCCAATAATTTTGAAAAAACGCGATCGTTTCCTTGACGGTGCGATATAGATAATTCAATAAATAATTGAAACGATTGGGATACAATAGCTCCTTTAGTTGCCATGGCATCACTAACACTGTTATTGTACAATGCAACATCTTTAACCGGCGACAATTGCTTATAATCGCCAAACATAAATACATATAACCCCGCAAATGAATCATCTCGAGATGGAAATAGTTCATGACATCTGCTTTCTATTTCACCCAAAGTTTTAGCACATATCATGGACATTTCATCAACGATGAGGAATTTCAATGCTTTATGTTCCAATTGGAAATTTCGCTGTGAATGACTATTTAATGGTTCAAATTTATTATGAAAAATTGGAATTTTAAAAAACGAGTGAATCGTGCTTCCATTTACGTTCAAAGCTGCAGCACCCGTAGGAGCAATAATTGCTATAGCATCACAACCAAGCGCATCAGTAACTTCTTGAACAACCGCGTTGATTAGAGTACGTTTACCGGACCCAGCTTTTCCCTGTATTATCACACGTTTAATAATCTGATCGGAGATATCACCGATGCTGGACTGAATGTGTTGAATCTGAGTTCTACAAATCTGTACAACTTTCAGTTGTTCCCGCGATAACGTAATTTGTTGCAGATTACTGGAGTTCTTTATCGAGCGTGTTGCGTTCTCACTTTTAAAATTTTTTAAAAATGTTTCAATGTCTTGCAACGAGGGATACAGCGCGTTGTGTACATTCCAATCATATGCTACGTCTATTAAACGTTGTCCTAATTGTAGATCCGATCGTTCTTTTATCGTTGACGAAACCATTTCAAACGCATTATAATATATATCACTAGTGGATGGTTTATCTTCGTTATCAAGATCTTCTATACACGAAATTGGCAATTTGATATTGTCTATCGGCGTTACGTTATATTGCTCAAATAATGAGTACCAAGGATGTTCGTTGTTATTGTCGCATACTGTAGAGATCTCATCTACATTTTGACGGAATGGGATGTGAAGGGTGCACTGTTGCTTGTAGTATAAATCGCTATCTAAGTCATCTGATAATTTCAACTTTGGCCAAATTAAAACAACATTCTCTTTGCGGCTTTTAACGTAGCGATTTCCATATACATTAATAGTTTGCGCAAATCGGAATAACGAAATATCATTGTATATTAAAGGCCTATCGATATATTTATCGATAATAGATTTGGAATTTCGATTAAAGTCTTCTTCGTTGAGCTGTAATCATAGTTTTATTGTATGGTATGTAGAGTATCAATTGGATTAATTGCTAAAAATTACATGTTATACGTTACCTCATATTTTTTCCAGTTTTCTTCATAAAGTATAAGTGAGACGAAATTGCTCGTAGATTTCATTAATGACCAACCCATTAAAAGATGCGTAACCTCTTGAGCAGAATAATCGCGTTCGCTGACAGATGAAATAAGCAGTTTCATCACGCAAAATTTTGCAGAAGTAACGTCGTTGCTATGTTTGCATAGACTATTTATTACATTCATGTATGAGAAAGAAGCAGCTTCACTTTTTGTTGTGTACTTAACGATGTATTTAACAACTGCATTAATGTCGAGTATGGGCGTAAAGTCCGTATTAGCCCGCCATATTTGTGTTACGACATTATTGAAGCGCTGCACATACGAATCGTTCCATCGAGGAAAAAACTCATAATATCCGTGTTTATCATCAATGGAGCTGCTTTCTTGAACGTCTTTAGGAAATTTAAATCTGCAGTGTGTATTTGCATTACCTCGTCTGTAGCAATGGGTTCCGCACTTTGTATGACGTTGAAAGGCACAGAAAATCTTTGTTGAGAAGGATGGTTTGAACATGTCGGATTAGCACTTTTAGGATTAATGGCTAAACATAACGTATCAAAGTATTCTTGTATTTTATGAATATGATCCTCAGACAAGTCATTAACAATAAACTCGGGCTCATCTTGTAAGTACAGTAAACCATGTACATGAGGACTTCCAAGATTTTGCCACTGAAATCTGTACCAATAATCTTTCACACGAAATACAGGTATTAACAATTTACTCATGAACAATTCAACTCGTTCCTTAAAAAAATATCTTACTACGAGAGGATTGTCGTGCATTAAGTTTCGGTTTTGTTCAGATTGTAAATCAGAATAGTCTGTAGAAGGCGCTAACAGACGAAATAATTTAGGCCAATTATAGTCCGCAGCCGACAGCATAAAAAAATCGTCGGTTTACCTATCGCAAAATAAATCAAATTAATAATGTAATCATTTGAATCCATCAATTTCGACGCGGAACTAATTTTGATATTATTAACTCTATGAAGTTCAATACAAGTATAAGCTACAGCTAAACATTACGTTATTGGCAACATGTAATTAAATTAATGTTGAACTTTTAACGTAGGACGGTCAATAAAATGAACAGACATATGGCAGCGGATGATGGTTTTATATAAAAAATTGTGGTTCATAAATGAAATAAAGTTTCAACAAGTACCCATGTCGGAGTTGATGGATTAACAAAATTATATTAGTTACAGCGGAAATCACCTAATTCGAGCTCTAAAAATGAAAACGTCACTTGATATGAAGAAAATGTCACATAAATCGAATTTTCGTTTCCAAAAATGATACGGATTATGAGAGTTTACCGTTCAAATTCAATACTTATTCTAAACAGAGTGGCCGCCTTCAGGCTGTCGAATTATATGATTTCCAATAAATATGTAATGTTGCAATTCCTCACCTATTTGATCAACCATATTCGTTAATTCCCTATATCTCCTGGACCAATAACTTTTGGTAGATTTAATACGTGCGCAATGCACCATAATATCATTTTTAATAAGATCTCGTAATTTGAGAACAGTAAGATCCGACAACTTAAATTTTTTCACATACAAATTTGACTGTGTTATGGCATAGTGTCGCAAGATTGTATTGAGCGCGAACTATCTAAATCTAGGATCTTTAGCAAATCTCCCATCTTTGTAACACATTAAAAGTTTGAAATAATTGAGACACGTAATACTGTGGATCCTACTTTGCAAAATGTCACAAGTTGCGGTTAGTTTCAGGAGGCTCTTATTTGAAAACCGTCCAATAGTAGCCTTTGCTTTTTTAATTGGTTGATATTGCTTATTAATTGCTCTCCTGGTTTTTGCCGATTTCCGTTTGACGTTTGGCATTTTGTTGAAAGTATCTTTGCTGCGAATAAAACGTTGTAAGATTAAATTGCCGTAATTAAAACGAAATTGACTTATTAAATCAACACGTGAACGCACTCAATGTAATGTTAATTATTCATACGACTTTATCGTATCTACGTAAAATTACAAATATATTGCAATATTGCATTATAGATTAAATACGTTTGATAAATCTCATAAATGATTCAATGCGTATAATAGATTGATCGTAATGTATTGAGTAGTGCACTTGTACTCACCTCTATTATGCAATATAATAATAAAGTATTCTCAATTACAAAGTCACTCAAAAGCACCGAGTGTATATATCGTTCAGTCGATAAAAATTACTAATGATATTTATTCTTTAATAATTAATTGCACATCATCACTAACAACACTTGAACACTCAAAGAAACCTTTTAGCATACTAACTAACCTTCAGCGAACGGACTCAAATTATAATAACATCAAAGCGTATACAATCGGTATGACATCTAGCCCTCACTTTCAATAAGCTTTGGACGTATCTCATGTAATTAGCGATGTATCATTCGTTTGCACGGCGTGCGTACGCACATATAAACGTCGATTCAAATTATTGTATACATTCTCCCCTATAATCATAAGCCAATGTAAATATTGTAAATAAGTTAAAGAGAGAGAGAGAGAGATAGAGAGAGATTTATAAAAAAATAAAGAAACAAACACACAATAACAAAAAAATGAAACTAACTTCGCACAACAATGTATACAGAAATGTAGTAACATAACAAGATTATTTGAAATAGCTTACGATTGAATTTTACTACAAGATGAGGCGAGCGTGTAACCACATACACACACACACACACACACACACACACACACACACACACACATACATGTAGTCTCACAATGCTGGCAATGACATGCGGTCTGACGTGCGAAGCAGACAAGACGTGTTCTGCTCGTGCTCCCGTATTCTCGATCTTTTACGAAGATATACGTAGAATCAAAGTACTTGTGTAGGTGCTGCGCGTTCACGGCGACGTGCCGCGTCTGTGCATGTGTGTGTGCAGTCCCGCCGCTGTGTGTGTGTGCAGCTGTAGCAGGTTTTTGCTGCGTATTGTGTCGATTGCGAATGACACTAGTGTTTCCCGCGCTCAGTTCTATAGGTGTGAACCGCGCACGTTTGTGTGAGTGCGTGCTCCGCGCCGCTGTGCCGGTGTTCGATCGGTCGGGCCGACTCGCGTCGAGTAAGTCGCTATGCTTGACAGGCAGCGGGATCGGCAGGCGCCTACGCCGGCGGTTCGCGGCTCAATCGAGAGTCGAACGAGGAATGGCACGCTGCCGGTAGAGCCGAAGTGGATAGGTTCCCCGGCGGATATGATCGCAGCAGCGACCACGAAAATAATCATCAGCGCTCCGCTCGTCAAGGAGGCTCCGCTCCCGTCCCCCGCAGATTTTGCGACCGGGAGCCCTGAGGAGCAGTGGAGACGAGTCGACGGACTCGTGAACGGTCTTGCCGCCTTCATCGACGGCAGGGGCAACCTACACCGGGGGGTGATCAGGTACACCATGAGCTTGGTCCATGCCGTCTCGGCCCTCAATAGGTCGAAGGCTTGACCTCCTACTGCGGACAAGGCGGCCTGCAATGTCGCCACCGGCGACCCACGCAACGCCAAAGCGCCACGCTGGGGCGGCCGCACCCAGGAAATCTGATGACAACAACAATGAGGTCGTCGATCAAGATGGTTTCTCCCTCGTCGACCGAAGACGTCAGCGCCAGCGAAAGCAGCCGGCAGCATCAGATGACACTGCCCGCACCCGTCAACAGCCGAAGCCGCGACCAGCGCCGCGTAGGGTTCATCACCGACCGGATGCAATAGTCATCAGAGCGAAGGATGCATCTACGTACGCCGGCATCCTAAAAACGCTCAAATCGGAGCCGACGTTGCAGGAGACAGTCGGAAGCAGCGTCAAAAACATCAGACGCAGTGCTGCTGGTGCCCTGGTGCTACAATTACGTAAACGTAACGCACTTTTTCGATTTTTTCCCATTTTTTCAACTTCAAAATCACGCCAAATTTTCAAAAATGAAAATATTTTAAAAAACTCGACGTCAGTACCTTCAGAATCCTCTAAACTAATAAAAAAATGTCATTAGGCTTGCTTCTGATGATTCTGCGAGGAGTTATCGTGTACACCGCATTTTTCGACGTGTTTTCTTCAAACCGATGCCCCAGGCTCATTTTTCAATATTTTTCAACAAAAATTTAGCTGAGTACTCTTGAAGTGATACTTTTTAGTGTACAAATCGATATTACTACATTTTCATTACTAGATTTCAAAAAATTAATCTCAAAAATGAGCAAAAATAACTAAAAATTAACTATACCCCCCCCTTAAAANCCCCCCCCCCCCCCCCCCTTAAAGCTATATAAATTATTATAAGCTTTATTTATTTATTTATTAATTTTTATTAACAAATAACAAATCAAAAATATTGCCTTTTTTTTGCCTCCACTATTTCTCTTGCCATTTTATTTAGAAGGATCGTAGAAACATTTCGAACCTATGGATTTGTAGGTTTTAACGAGACCTTTAAATCCTTTTTCTAAAGATTGTCTTACGAGCTTTTTTAACAAATATACAACCCTTTTAGTGCAAAAAGGACCCTTTTTTTCGTTCGCATGTACACCGCGTTCGAGGTGTCGTAGAAAAAAATTTTATGTACAAAAAAGGTTGGTTGTTGTGTGTACAATAAGAAGCAATAGTTACAATTCGTTTCTGAGAAATTTTTTTTTTCGATTTTTTATGCATGTTAACCCACCAACGCTCAAAGTGGCGAAATTTTTTGTTCGCGGTAGATGCGATTTTTTTTCCATGTTCAAGGCCTTGAAAAGACTTCACGTATATATAATTTTATGCAGAATTTAATGCCCTTTCTGAACCCAGGCTTAAATTTGAGAGTTGATGCTTAGTTACAAAGTTATGGTTGTTTAAACGTTAAAGCTTTTTTTTTCGCACAAACTTTTTGTTTTTTTTTGTTTAGAAGGAACATGACAAAAAACTACAGAAACGGCAGGTTCTATAGGCATGCTCAAGTAAGGGTTCGTGGACTCGCCTGTTCATACCGTACGATGCCCTGGGATCGAGAGGAGATTTAGAGAAGTGAACTACTACCTCACCCAATTTCTGCCCGGCCACAGTTGCTTCAGGTTATATCTATAGCATACCAAGAACGACACGAGACTTTTTCCACTGCCCTTGATTCACGGAGGAAAGAGAGCATCATCGCCGCCTTACTAACAAACCCTTGTGGCTCAAGACGATTGTTGAGTTATTCTTGCCGCTGAATGCAACTGTGAAGCAGTGTCATACTTCCCTGGCATAGTTATGTCAAGACTAAGAAGCAAAGTAAGTGCCAAAAGAGGATGACCGTATGATGCGGTACAAAGAAGATGGGATATGAAGACTTTCCAAAACCAGAATGAGATCTTACAGAGCGATAGCGTCTCTCCACAATACAATGCTTAACGTCAATTCCGTGGCGAAAGATAGAGGCAGAAAAGAAGAGGGTAGGTTTTAGTAGGTATTACTAAAGAGCCACACATCAGCCTACTTAGTAACGGTACACAAACATCAGTACACTACTAGAGTCCGACATATCTACGCTACGTTTGATTGTCGCATGTTGGATCTGAAAATAGATTTCCTTTCTGGTAAAAAAAAAATAAAGACACACACGCACACACTGACACACACAGCCCTTGTTGATCTAGTGGGTAAGGGCGTTGGAAGAGCTGTCTGCTAACTCAACGTTATTGCTAAGAGCGTAGATTCGATCTCCAGTGGGAGAAATATCATTAGTGATTTTTTTCATTTTTGATAATTTTGAACGCAAACCAATTTTAATGGAAATAACTCAAACTATGCAACACAAATCCGTATGTACAATTGACTTAAATAAAAAAATGCTTTTTTATACTTAAAAAAATAATATTTGAATAAATTTTGTAACAGCTTTCTATAATATTTTACAGGTTACAACAAACTTGTAATACGCAGAAAACTCATTCTTTCCCTCATAACTGTTGGCGTGTTTCTGAAAAATTCAATTGCATCCAATGTCCGATTGGTTTTTTTAACTATTCACCAAAAAGTCCACTTTGCATTCGAAGTTCAAAGTGTAATGATACTTCTGATTATATAATTAAGAAAGAAAAATCTTGCAAGGTAAGTTCATGAATAATTATCATTTCTTTAACATAGAATTTAGAAATAAATTGATCAAGAAGCACATGTCGCGCTCCACCTGGCAAATATGACAGGAACTACGTGACGACACGACGCTACTCATATAATTTCCCAAAATTCCAGCCAATTTTCTTTTTGCTCTCATTTGAATTTGATAAAAAATATCGAAAATATGATGAGTTCATTACATTCCTTCAAAAAAATCCTATCGATATGAACTATTTTGATTTTCCTACAGTCTACTACATCCTATAGAAACAAAAATAAATAATTGGGTCACATTAAAACGATCTAACGAAAAATGTCCTATGTACCAAAAAAATAGTCTGTGCAAAATTTTAGCTCATATGAATTGAGATTACCCGTGCCGACAGTCGTTTGAAGGTTTTTCAATTCGATTTAAATTAATTTTTTCCGCTTCTTTACAGCAATATTCAAATGGCTCTGTGGCCGTAAATTTTTAAGCAAATCAAAATCCAAACCCATCAAATTAGAGGTCTTAAAAATACCTTTAATTTGCTTTTTTCAAAATTTTGATTGCTTCAAAATTAACTGCTGTAGAGCCATTCGAATATTGCTAAAAAATAGAAAAAAATCGCAATTTTTCTAGTTTTCTAATAGCCGAGGTTCACTCGGAAAAATACCAATTTTTCCGAAACTTCGGGCTATTTTTTCGTATGTAATAAGCTAAAAAATGACGTAGGTTTCGACCGGAATATTGCATCCTAGCTCCGTATAGAGGTATTTAAAATATTTAATATTTTCGTCTTTTCTTTTGCTTTCATCCGTCTAATGATCACACGCTTTTTATTGTGAGGACATTCACAAAGTACCGAAACATTTTCCAAATACTACTGATAATTAAAAGCATCTCAAGACCTATATTTTAAGCCCCCTAACGCGCTCATAGGTGCCTCAGAACTAAATCTACAGCCAAACTAAGAATATAATCATTAACGAAGTTGAAAACTAGAATCGCGGATTCGAGGTTAGTTATGCTAAAGTGTCCTTTATTGGCCCAAAATCCCAAAAAAAAGTTTAAAAACATCATGTTCAACGTATTTTTCGACGAGAAAACCAATGGTGACCTTGGATTTAACCTTGAACATAACGTCACGTTCATATATACCTTTAGGTTTTTTTAAAGATTATGTTCATGGCCATTGAAGGGCGATGTTGTACGCAAAAAGACCTTTAATTATCCTAGAATAATCTCATTTAAGGAATAAAATAAAATACTTTTAAAAAAAATAATGGTGTATTTGAACGTAAAATTTTTCGCTCTTTTTAAATCTTCAATAATAAATGGGGGTCACCGAACGAAAAATCAATCTTGGTTCGTTGCAGCTTAGAGGTTTAACTAATACTAGGGCCGCAAGCAGGCTCGCAATAATTACAAATGACATTCAGTCGCTTATTCGTCGCTGACAAAGTCGTCTGTAAGATACACTCGAACAGGGTCGTCGCTCGACGTGGATCCGCGTCAATCGATCATAGGTCCCTCAATTAATTATTATCGTCTGCTCGTCGTACTTGATGTACGACGAACCACGCGTGCTGCCTTTTGCTAAATTGAATTTCGCACTCGCGACTTAACGCGTAAATTATGCGTTTCATGTCATGATCAATTTCTACCGACGATGCTTGCTTCGCGATGTTGCGCTTATGTCCCCTCTCACGGATCTGCTCCAAGGTTTGCAGAAGAAGAAGGAGGAGCTCACCTGAAGCACTGAAGTGGATGAGGCATTCGAGCTCACCAAGCAGGCTGTGACTACGTATTCTGTGAGGACGGCATGATAACGGCGGGCCAGGAGTTGTGCGTATATGATGTACAGTCGAGTGCTTTATCAATTTCGGCAAGTCAAGAGGACGATGAAGATCCGGAAATGCCGAGATGATATCCGAGTATTCTATTCGCCGCTTGCTGCTAGTCTTGACGCTGCATTGCGACAAAAATTGCATTGACGCAGGCGCGAAGAGGTTGGTGGAAGCGTCGATCAAACGCTTTCGTCGACAATCGGGCAGCAGGTCGTAGTGTGCAAGGAAATCGAAGCCCATGATCGGCTGCGACACGTCCGCAACGATGAAACGCCAAAAGAAACGTCGATGAAGACCAAAATCGAGAGTCAATCTGTAATGCTTTTCGATGAGAGACAGTCTGTCGCCGCTACTGACCGTCTTTGCCGTTTCCCGGGCAAAGACACTTCTTCGCCTTACTGCCAAAACGGAAACAATACCAGCATAATTTGTCTGAGTCTCGTGATTGGTTCGATGACTTCAACTGTGGTTGCGGCTGCAGCTCCGTCGTTGAGGTGATCTCTCGACATTGCGAGAGCGTAGTGCACTGACCTCCGAGGTAAGCTCTCGAATGGCAGTCAAGAGAGAGTCATTGAGAGGGCAAACCTGCTCCGCTGCGTCTGCGACTGCGTCGAAGAAATCGGAGAAATCTCGACAATTTTGTCTGCCAAGTCCGAAAGCTGCTCGAGTGAAAGCTCGGGTCGGGCTGTCAATACGGCCTGGACGTGGGTAGGAAGTCGCCGGAGCCATAGGTGACGCAGAAGGTTAGGTTGTACGGCGGTTGGGGAATCAAGCTACTTGAGGTGTCGCAAGAACTGCCAGGTCTTGCGGTCGCTGAACTCTTCGTCGTAGAGAAGTTAACGAACTCGCTGCTCCTCTGATGTCGAGAGACGCTGGATGAGATGTCGTCGCAAATTCGTGTAAGGTTGATCGCCTGGAGGGTTGCTGATGATGTCCTCGACCTCCGCGGCTACATGAACATCCAGTTGAGAGATGACATGGTAGTATTTTGTCAGCTCAAGAGGAGGAGCAAAGGCTGCCGTGGCTGCAGCGGCTGCATTGGCTCGTTGTTGTTGCTCTGCATGAAGGGCGGCAGCGGCAGCGTCATCGGCGAGAGCTCGCTGCTGTATATCGGCGTGATCTCGCGGTTCTATCTGCTGCAGGAGATGGGCGTTGCGACAAAACTCGTTATCACCTTCAAATACCATCGTTGTATCACGTCGGGGTCACCAAATTGTAGGAACGTAAGGATAGAGAGAAATATTAATATCGTGAGGAGCTTTATTGATTTGAGACTTCTCGTCTCGGAGGCAGCAGATAAACTGGCAGTCGCGATTAATTAGTTCTATCGCCTGGCGACGGTAAAACAGAAGGTGAACATTTAGCAGTTCAACTACTTACATTATACATGTACAACTGCGGTGAAGTGAGTCGCCACAGTCATACCGTCAAGTTTCGACTCTAGGCATTGCAAAAAGGCAATTAGCTGAAGATGAAAGCTCTTGTTGCGGTAAAATGTTAATGTCTGACATGATATAAGAGAGGTGAAAGAATAGTTATTGAAAGAAGTGAAAGGAGTGAAAGAAAATAATCTTGTCCTCACTGCAATCAATGACGCTTGTGCATCCCCACTCCAACCACACCTTCACGCGCCAACGTCTTGTCGCTATAAAAAGTGGGAGCCTCGGATGCCGTGGTCACTCCACTCTGAGACTTAGCCAGAGTCGGATCGATAGAGAGAGCTCGGCTCTGGGATTTTTTTTCAATAAAACACATGGTTATTGCAAACCCGGCCTTTTCTCTCTTCTAACCTGCCTACCTGCACGATACAGCGAAGGTTCGTGAGCAACCGAAGCGCGGTGGGATCCAAATACGTATCCAGCCTCTGCGAGCTTCACCACCGACAGCTACGCGGCGCTTTAACTCCCACAAGCGACGGGATCCCATGAAGGTATTTGTATGGATTTGGCCCAAACTTTTTCTGGTGATTTTGGACAGTTAAAAAACATGCCCTGTTATGTTAGGTTGAGTGAATTGTAACGGTTGCCAATCCGGGCAAGATGTGTCCCGTTCAATCTTCTTAAAGGCTGAAAATGAAGTCGGGATTGTACCAATAATTAAGCGTATTATTTAATAGAAAAAATTAACAATAAGGTAATTTATTTAGCGCCAGTCACGGAGGTGACGCCTTATCGAGCCAAATGAGTTACAATTACTCTACTTTACTCAGTGGGTGCGGATGAAGAGTTTAAAGGAATTCGCGGCGAGAAAGAGAGAGCGCAACTTGGCAGGCAAATACTTGAAAACGACTTACTCGTTGCGGACTCGAGGTGTGGATGGCCAAATACACCGGGCGACCTGGACCCAAGAAAGCGGCAGCAGGACCTTGGCAGCGGAAGACGGACCTCGGCAGCAACTCTGCAGCTCACACACACTCGCGTGTTATAATTTTTCAAGGCCCACTATTGCAGATAGACGGTTTCACACATGTTCGCGCTATAGAGCTCCCAGAGACAGAGGGCCTCACGCTGCTCACAAGCCTGCCATACAGGCCCAAGGCGCCAGAAGTGTCGTCTGCTTCTCATCATCGCTGGTGGTAGTCTCGCGAGCACAGACGGTCTCGCTCACGTGACCCTCATTCTTGTGTCGTGCTCTCCTTGCCCGATATACTCTCTCTCGCAGTCGCCTCGCGTACGCATAGACTCGCGAAATCATCATGTCACGACGGACGTCAGGGTAAAGGAAAGGAAAAGGGGTGCTCACCCACTGGACTCTGCTCTGTCCGAGGTGTCGCGTAACACGTCACCGTGTTACAGAATTTTTTCTAGAAGAGTTAGATAAAAAATAAACATTAAAATAATAAAAATCAATATATAAAGCGCAATAAATATTCATTTTCTACCCTCAAACTATTATGGTCACTCATTTTAGACACCTGGTTCTTGAAAACATTACATTTCATTGTTGAAAAGATGTTGGATCTCATTCATGACCCAAAACATGTACATTGTACAATAATGACATTATAAAGCGTTTAATTCAGGGTTGCCTATAATTAATTAAAAATTTAATTCCATTCCACAAAATTCCAATTACTCTTAATTTGGAATGGAAATTCTAGTCCATTCCGAATTACTTTTAATTTAGAATGGGAATTTTCTTTCATTCCGAACTAAAAATAATTCGTAATAAAAATTCGTAATCCAAATTAGAATTAATTCGGAATGAAAGAAAATGTCCATTTCAAAATTTTTTTTGTCGGTAATTTGGAAATTATTGATAATTACAGCGGGCTATTACATCCTATTGTTTTCAAACAATTTTTCGATCATCATATGTCAATTTTTGGATATTTTGGTGTTTCACTTTGCAAGAAAATTTGAAATCAAATGAAACAGTCAGTTTAACCCTAAAAGTTTAATCTCATCGAAAGAAGAGACTTTTCAGATGTTTTTTCTTAAAAATCGCACAGTCATTTTACGAGTTTGCAGTAAACGCAGTAAGGGTCTGCGAACATGCATTCGAGACGAGACGAGATGGGAAATTTCCATTCTCGCCTCGGTTGCCGAGAATCTCGACGTATCGAGAGACGATACCAGAAGTCGAAAAATAACATGAGAAGTCGAGAAATAATACAAGAAGTCGGGAATTTCTATTTTTTTCGAATTTCCATAACTTTATTTGATAAACTGTGTTAAAATAATGAATTCGCATTTCTTATGAAAAAATCTATTAGGTTCGCGATATAGATTTCTGAAAATCATTGGACACGAATTTTTTCGTTTTTCAATTAATTAATAATTAACGGAGATATAAAATTTGAAACTACATGCGTAACGTCACAATCATAGTAAATATAAGGGGAGGAGTACTATGATTGTGACTTAATTCAAGAGGCCCAAATTTGACGCTTTTTTTGATAGATTTTAAGACTTCTTGAAGAGAGTGATAGATGGTCCTAAAAATTATGGAAAAATTCAAGCAGATTCTTTGAAAAATTTTTTATCGTCGCATTTTTTCATTTAAGTACTTCTATATCGATATAGAAAATAACAAAGATTTTTTTATAATGTGGAAAATCCTCTACAAAATGGGCCCTAAGGCCCATGAGATCAAACTAAGCACAGAGAGCTTCAGTATAAGGGTACCAGGAGACCCGGAAAAAATTTTGGAGCAATTCCATGACCCGAAGGTGAGAAAATCTCCTTGTTAGTGCTTTCTATACGGCAGAAATAAATGCTTTTCAGAGCAAAAGAGCTGTAGTTCAAATGAAAAATATATTTGAAATATTTGGTAAGGCATGGCAAAAAGCAGCCAGAATTGAAACTGCCGTCAGTTTTTTTAGAAAAACAGGAATTCGTCCTGTTAATAGAACTAAATTCAAAAATTTTTTTAAGATCGCAAACTGTGATGCTCTGCTGGTGTATTGCGTGAGCAGCAAACTTGTGCCATCGATGCAACTCGACAGCCAAAGACTGTGAAGCCAAGAACGTCACATTTGCCAAATATGAAGATCTCCGTTTATTCGTAGAAACTAGAATTCGCACACTCTATCGACTTGATGCGAGCTCAAAGGACTCTGGGATAGATCAAGCTAAAGTGTCAAAAGGAAAAAGCACTGGCAGGCAAGCAACTAACTCGCACCTCACTGTCAACCAGAAGAGCTCAGTGTCAAAGAACGCCAGTATAAAATGCACCTTTTGTGCTGAGCCACACAACTCAAGTTCATGTAAGGAATTTTTGTCAAAAACTCCAACTGAGCGGAGAGCGATCGCTCGAACTAAAAGGCTGTGCTTTAATTGTCTTGGCACCTCACATTTGGTGAGCGAGTGCTCTTCGAAGTACCGATGCAGAGCTTGCCAAGGAAAGCACCATACAAAGCTCCACATAGATCAAGCAGAAGCGGGTGGAAAACCAGCGGAGCTCGCAAATAATGAGTCATTCAGCTCTGCCGAAAGCTCGGACGCTCACTTGAAAACAGTAACGAGTACGCTTGCCTCCCTTACGCATCGTCTCAAAATGCTAACCACCGCCATCGTAACCTTGACCTCTGATAATGGTTTGACGTTTCAAGCTCGTGCTCTTCTAGACCCGTGCTCCGAAGAGTCATATGTTTCTGAAAACGTAGCTAAAGCTTTGGAGCTGGACACTCACAAGACACTCATAGCGGTTAATGGGCTTGGCAATTCCACGTCTGTGGCCAGGGGATGGGTCAATCTTATTGTAAAATCTCCCTCTGATGCTGACTTTAAATTCCAGATTGAAGCTCTCACGATGTCAAGGCTCACTTCCAAGCTTCCATCGGCACCAATTGACACTCAATCATGGACCCACCTGCACAATTTAGACCATGCCGATCTCTTTCACGCTACACCAAGCCCAGTCGACTGTTTACTAGGAGTGGATGTTGTCGCAGCTGCATTGCGACCTGGACTGATTACGGGCCCTGCTGGTACACCAACAGCGCTAAACATGGTCTTCGGCTGGGTGCTAATAGGGAAAGGACAACAGCAAGGCGGTGATGTGACCCAAGCTTTCTCGTTGACTGTCAACCACGAGCTTTCCGCTGCACTGCAAGCCTTTTGGGAAGTGGAAGAGATCTCAGCCCCGAAGCTCATGTCACCGGAGGACACACAATGCTACGAGCACTTCAAGGAAAATATTCAGCGAGACCACACAGGTCGCTTCATCGTGCGATTACCGCTCGTGAAGACACCAGCGCTGAGCAACTCAAAAAACAATGCACTTGGCGCACTGCGACGAATGGAGCGCCGACTTGAAAACAATGCAGAACTGCGTGAAGCTTACAATAAGTTTATGGTAGAATACGCTCAGCTACTGCATATGTCTTCGTTACCAGATCGCACCAAGGACGAAGAGACAGCCGTATATATCCCTCTGTTGTATGCCAGATGTTCGAGGACGTTCAACCTCGAATGCTTGCCATACAGATATGTCGACATCATAAGGCTATTGAACTAGGTGGATGCTGGCTCAGGCCCGAGTCGACGGTTTCGACATGCACAGGCATGACAAAACTGTCGACCGAAGCATCACCTGAGTCGGAATATCCAGTTGTCAATGACCGATTGATGCTGACAAAGGACTTCCCACCTCTAAATGCACCTGAGGAGCAACTAGAACATCGACGAACTAATCAGTCGATGTGTGGCCACTCCTCAGCAACCACCTACACCTTTGTATTAGCTCGGCACCTTTGCACATTATAAAGTGCACTTTATAAAAATAAAGTTATCTTTAACGTATAGAGTAAAGCCTTGAATAGTGTATTTAAAAATATTGAATAAAGTTTTGAATATTATATTTCCAATATTAAAGTAAAGTATTGAATAAATTAAAGTAAAGTAAATTCCAAGTGGTTGCAAGAAAACAACGTAAGTTATTTAATTCCATCTAACTAACATTTAATTATAAACATACATGTCTTTACACCCCACACCCTGACTAATATCTATTCCCCTATTCCTCTCCCCACACTCTTGCGAGTCGTGGCGACAAGCCTCTTCTGTATAGAAGGGTTCGCGCCCGATAGCAACATAATATATAATATACATATATTATAAAAAAAAAAGGTTTACGTACAATTAATCTCATGATTAATTAGCACGTAACACCCTCATCACCCAGTTGTTCGTGACGACTCGCTGAAGAAAATTCGAATCGTGTTCAATGCAACCAGCAAAGATACAAAGGGACAAACATTGAACGACTTTATGCACTCTGGGCTGAATCTACTCGAGGACACACGCGTGATTCTGCTCAGATGGCGTCTCTCAAAGTATGCATTTTCTTGTGACATCGTTAAAATGTTTCGCTAATTTTTAGTTCACCCTGACGACCGAAAATGGCAGAGGATACTATGGCACTATTCACCCGACAAGCCCGTGCAGCACTACAGTCTCAACACAGTCACGTATGGCACAGTATCTGCACCCTTCTTAGCTAATGCCTGTATGCTGGAGCTTGCAACGCAGGAAGCTGAGATATTTCCTCTAGGAACTCAGATTCTTCAGTGCAATCGATACGCTGACGACTTCTTCGTTGGCGACGATTTAGAGTTTAACCTGATCACGAAGGCCGATGAACTTGTGAAAATACTCAAATCAGCCGCCATGGACGTAGGAAAGTGGGCATCAAATTCGAGAGCTGTAATTGAACAATACAGTTCTGTTTCCTCTGAATCCATTGAACTAAAAGCGCCAACCAATTCGCCAGTCTCTGTGCTGGGCCTACTATGGACACCGAGCACCGATGCGCTTCACTACCACGTCCCTGCAGTGTCTACGGCGGAAGCAACGAAACGTGGAATCCTCTCGGCGGTCGCCAAATTGTACGATCCGCTCGGCTTCCTTTCTCCAGTCATCATACGAGCAAAAATTCTCCTACAAGATCTTTGGCTTCTCGGCATAGACTGGGATGCCAAACCCTCGGAAGCGACGACACAAGCCTGGCGAGAATTTCAAGAGGACATCGTAGAAGCCCAGCTCATCAAAATTCCGAGGTGGATATCACTTACAAGCACAAGTCGCTGGGACTTGCATGGCTTTTGCGTCTCAAAAGACATACGCAGCTGCTGTCTACGCCGTCATATACGATGCTGCCGATAATCCAATAGACTGCCATCTGCTTATCGCCAAAACTAAGGTTTCACCGATAAAGGTATTGAACATACCCCGCCTAGAATTACAAGGAGCAGTCTTGCTCGCTCGACTCGTCAATTTCGTCAACACGAGCTTGCAGCAAGCACCTTCGCTCACATACTGCTGGACAGACTCCAATATAGTTTTGGCATGGCTGCGTAGTCATCCTTCTCGTTGGAAAACGTTCACTGCCAACCGTGTCAGTGAAATACACACACTGATGCCCAATGTCGCCTGGCGTCATGTGCCTTCCAAAGAAAATCCTAGCGATTGTGCCTCGCGAAGAATCTCAGCCAAACTCCTCACGCACTGTGGTGGCATGGACCCACATGGCTCTTAGAGGATCCAAGCACCTGGCCTCCAGAGTCGTCGCAGGAATCGCAGACCGACGCCGAGCAGAGAACTTCAACACTCTTCTCCACCGTGAACAATCATGACGAGACAGATTGGCAAAATTGGTTCAAAAAATTCTCCTCATTGCACAAAATCGTGAGGATCCTAGCATACACGGCCAGATTCCAAAATGAGGCCACAAAAGGCCTGGAAAATCGTACGGGTTATCTAACTGCCCAGGAGATGGCTGCTGGTCAGGAGCGACTATGGCGCATAATTCAATACATCCACTTTCGTGCAGAAATTGATGCGCTCACGAAAGGTACAACTGTCTCATCGTCAAGCCCGATGAAAAGACTCAACCCTTTCATCGCTGCTGACGGTCTCTTACGCGTAGGCGGACGGCTCGAGCGATCATCATTGTCGGAAAGCGAAAAACACCCAATAATTTTGCCGTCTAAGGATCATGTCATGCGCCTTTTAGTACACGACACCCATCTGCTAACTTTACACGGAGGTCCTCTGCTCACACATAGCACCTTAGGGCGCAAGTTTTGGGTACTGCGTGCCCGTAACTTCATTCGTGGTGAAGTGAGAAAATGCACCACTTGTGCGCGCTACAAAGCTCGCACTCTGTCGCAAGCGATGGGATCCCTTCCACCAGAACGAGTTCAGCCTACGCGTCCATTCACTAATACCGGAGTTGATTATGCCGGGCCGATTTGGTACAAAGCTTCACCTGGACGAGTACGGAAGGCCCTGAAGGGCTACCTTGCTGTTTTTGTATGCATGACCACGACGGCCGCCCACCTTGAGGTTGTTTCAGATTATTCTACATCCTCTTTCCTCGCTGCTTTTCTCCGCTTTGTGTCACGCCGAGGCCTATCCCGCCACCTTTTCAGCGACAATGGCACGAATTTTCGAGAAGCAGACGCTGAGCTCAAGAACCTCTTCCGTAACACTTCTCCAGTTGGACAGAAAATCGCCGCATCATTGGGTCAACAAGGGATCGAGTGGCATTTCACGCCACCTTACGCGCCAAACTTCGGAGGTCTTTGGGAGGCCACCGTCAAGTCGTGCAAGGGACACCTAAAGCGAGTCATCGGAGAAAATCTCCTCACTTATGAAGAACTCATCACACTCGTCATTCAAATTGAAGGCTGTCTGAACTCAAGGCCCCTAGGCTACTTGAGCTCCAACGACAAGGACCCCATCGCCTTGACACCGGGCCACTTCCTCATCGGATCTGCGATCATCTCCCTTCCAGATAAGATGAAAAATGCCCCGTCTTGTCTAACTGCCAAATGGGAATTAGTGCAGAAGATGCGAGACGATTTTTGGGCCCGCTGGAGCCAAGAGCATCTTACATATATGCAGCAGCGTTCAAAGTGGATAAAACCACAGCCGAATGTACAAGTAGGTGATGTCGTCCTAGTAAAGAATTAGTTACAACCAGCTTCTCAATGGCTGATGGGACGAATCACTCGTTGCTATTATGGAGATGATGGACTGTGCCGCGTCGCGTTGGTACGTACAACCAAAGGGGAGTATCGCCGTCCCATTAGCAAACTCATATTGCTGCCAATAGCTGAAAAAGCTCCGAAACCATAAGATAAACCATCAACGAGCAAGTCGGACGGAGAGCCTGAAGATTTACGAAGAATCCTACAATTACTCTGACAATTTTTCTTATAATGATTGAGACTATTTTCTTTATTTTTTCAAAAAAAAATCCAAAGTTATGTTACATTTCAAAATCACTCTCTTCTTCTTTGAGAAAAAAAAACGGGGAAACCCGCTGTAAGCGGCTTTGGCGGGCGGTATGTCGCGGCTAGCAACGCTCCGTTTTCTCCTCTCGGCCGCCTCGCTCCATCAAGCGGACTGGAAGGGGAAGCGTAGGCCCACGCATTCATCTTTGCGAAAATCGGAGTCGCGTCAGTCACGAGTTTTTCTCGCACACAGAGCACTGACCCGAGTAATTATCTCTAATAGTACCCCGCCAAAGTCGCACAATATATTCTTTCACGCAATGTATTAAAGTTTAAACAATTAACTATCAACAATTAACAATCGATCTATAATATTTTTGTGTTTAAAATAATGTTAGTGAAAAGTGTAAAATAACGCGTTCAGCTTTGATTTCACTTAACCTCTCACCCCTCAAGATTGAAACCGCGATACAGGGCGCGGACATCACCAAAAAAACCAAAAAGAGAAAAAGATGATGAGAACGCATTTATTTTTGAGAAATTGTCGAATGAAATGAAATTTCTAGATATTGACATTTCATTTCAATCTATTGATATTCAAATAACGAATGTTATTCAAGAAGATGGTAGTTGTTTATCGTTTTTACATCTTTAGCAAAAACCTAGATGTACCAATAAAATTGATATTCTGCAGATATATTTTGCTTCGATGTGATGCCCAAATATAAATTAGCTCCCCTGACACTCGTGCCCAACCCATATGGCACAATTCCCGACCATCGAAAAAAGACGGGCAATTGTGACAAATTTTTTGAAATTCAATAAAAAATTTAAATTTCATTGTAATTTTCCAATTTTAATATATGTTATAAAGCTTGAGCTCCCCTTTGCAATGATCGTTTCAGATTTGAAAATTTTTTAAAATTCGCTTCAGGAAGCAAGTTTGAAGTTATGGTGTCACTCATGCCCCTCCCCTACTCACACAGCGTGAGATCTGCTGCAGAATCTCACACGTGCACCAAGCAAGCGAATCATTTAGTAGAGCTGAACCTCTTCTCCGCTGGTATATACAAAGCAAATTAATATATATCGTTTAAAAAACGTGTGGAATTTGAATAGTGCTGTTACAATATGAACACGTCTTATCCACTTACATCGTGCGTCTTTTCATTCAAAGTTTTCATTCGTTATAGTTGTCTTTTTTTGTTCTCAACATTCGTCCAGAGTAATAGAAACTTGTGTCGGCTTTTTTTCCAAGATACGTGAGCACGAATAGGCAATTTTTTCCTCCGACGTTATCCGTGCGCTGTAAGAAAAATCAGTGCACCAATCGTCTTTCAACGCACGCGCGCGATGCGTTGCCAATTTTATAGTGCAGCATATGACTACGATCTTGTGTTTTCTGCTTCTTTAATAATCGTTCGATCGCTCGAAGAACAGCACAGTTATGTTGATCTATCTGTGGCATGTATGTAGGCGATCGATCAAAGCGTCAGCTGCCAACGCGTCAATTATCGCGTGTTTTTAGGAAATTCGCGTATACGTGTCACGCTGCTGTTGCGATGGCGGGCGCCGAAACTGTAACTGCTAGGGTAGATTCTCTCTTCACCGATTTTCACGATTTTCCTTTTGCGCTGGCTATGCTCTGTACGTTTACGCTTTACACCACTAGGTGGCGTCTACCCGTGAGCATCGCTTCCAGAAGCCACCGAGCGCTGGGAAGCGTATATAGGCAGTCGTCTCCTACCGCATAGTCACTTGATGCAACACCTTCTAAGAAGCAAAGTTGACACTCTATGGATGAGTAGTGGTCGTTTCTACATGCAGCGGTGTTCGTTTTTACGCGTTAGTGACATTCAGAATCCGCAGTTTCTCAGTAATAATTCTACCTATCTTAGGCGTACGCTCTCCAAAGCTAAGAGTTGCAGAGCGTTATCCCACTTGTCCCAATGTTCACACACATAAACACACTCACAAGTATGCAAATCGGCCTCCTTGGCTCAGTGGGTATAGTTCTTGCCTGCTGATACAAGGATGTGCCGTAGGGCGTGGGTTCGATCCCCACCGGTCGAATTTTCGAGGTTCGTTTTTCCGCCTGGTGTGGTCGAGCCCGTGCCCGAGGTGGAGCAGGTACCACTCAAAAAGAAGACTCGGGCTACGTCATCAGCCTCCGAAACGGTAAAAAAACCCCGATCACTGTGTGAGCTGGAAGCGAAAAGGATAACCATAAGTAGGAGCTCGAGGCGAGGACCCACAAGGCTGGCAATAGATGAAGCACAACACTCCCATGATGAAGTCAGAAGCGAGAACCACACTCACAAGATGTAGCCGACAGAGCAAAGGGGGCGCTTGCCATCGGCTGCAGAAGCGAGAACCACACTCACAAGATGGCACTAGACAGCGAGTTCTAAAAGATGTCTAACTCAGGAGGAGATGCCAGCAATGTGTGACCACGCAGTAGGTCGCTAAAAGGGATACGACAATCGACGATGACATCGCGCAGGATCGGAGGTTCACCAAGTAGAAAACAGATGAGTCCCTGAACCCTTAATCGTCGCTTATCACTATGCGATGGATGGAGGATGTATGGAAAAACAACGACTAACATAGAAGTATCAGAAATGCTCAGATAACCCCGGCCTTACCGAAGCAATGCCTAACGGCAGATACCGGTAAGTGTCCAAATGGGGTAGAGTAGAAAAAAAACAAGTATGCAAATGCGTCTACCACAAACTTATATTTACATATATATACTCGTGTCTATGACAAATTAATGCAATTTTTGGCTCTATTTCGTACGCATTTACCTATACTTCGACATTTTATCATTTATCCGTAGAAACACGTAAATGCATTTACTTTTGCCTATCATATTATTAATTTTTTTTCTTAGATCAATCGACCATCCTTTGAAAGAAGATCGGCAGCATTAGCCTGCAGACGCTTCCGGGGTACTCACTCCTACGATAAAGTTTCTGAAATTCTTTTTGATATCAGCGACGAATATGATCTCAACAACAACAAAGTTGTCGGAACAGTTACGGACAACGGTTTTAATTTTGTAAAAGCGTTTCGAGTATTTGGCACTAGTGACGATATTTCGGGTATTATGTTTTTGTATAAATTTTTGATACATATACTTACCAGTTCAACGTTTATTTATTATGTATTGTAATGTTTTAGTTGACAACGAAGATGGAATGGAGCCAATCGATCTCGAAAACGCTTTGCAAGATGGTATAAGTTTTTTGACAGACGATTATAATTCAAGTGATGATAAACCAGAGTCAGCTAATCGTCTTGATGAAGAATTTAACATCGAGTCGTCCACGTTGCCTGATGATGTAATAACGTTATCTCGTCATTTTCAGTGCGCTAGTCACACGCTAAATTTGATTGCAAAAACAGATACTGCCAAATTCATGAAACTGAATGAACAATTTGAAACTGTTCATTCGGATGTTGTAGAAAAATGCGAAAAGGTATGGAAAAGCCTTAAATCGGTAAAAAAAACGTGAAGCATCAGTGAAACATATCGGCGAGAGCATCAAAAGACCAAATGCGACTCGTTGGAATTCTTTTGACGCATTTAAACAAATTCATGAGCGTAAAGATTTATTCGTGTCTGATGAAGTTGACAAAATAACCGAATCGACGATTGATTTCGAAAAATCGGACTTTACTCACATTCAGCATTATCTAACCATAATGGCACCTCAAGCTAGTGCAATTGACAAATGGCAAGGGGACAAAAATTGTCATTATGGTCAGCTTCTTTCTGCGCTCATAACAATTAAGCAAAGGTGGTTGGAGACACTTGACTCATTCGACGCTCAAAAAAAGAACTGTGTACAAAGAATTGGTTGACAGTTTAATTAATTAGAAGTTTGAAAAAACGATTCGAAAAGATATTTGCTGTGGAAGACATTGGTGAGTTCACAGCAATTGCCGCTTTGACTCACCCAGTCTACAATAAAGATTGGGTGAAATGTTTGTCGACGCAAGCTCAAAACAATGTCGAGCGACTAATCCACACCAAAGATCAGTTTTCGCAAAAGCCAACCTCCCCTACAGTCCTGCCAGACCCTTTCGTTTTCTATGGAGAAGCTGGACAGCCAACGAATCTAGATAAGATTATTACAATGAAAACTGGATGTACTGAGCTCTTGAGATTCTTGGCGGAACCTCCAGTGACTAATTTATTAGATCTAAACAGATTTCCAAAGATAAGAAAAATTTTTCTCAAGTTCAACACAATTTTACCTTCGTCAGCACCCGTAGAGCGTCTATTCTTCTATGCGACAATGTTGAATTTACCGAAGTACAATCGATTATCAGAGAGTCAATTCGAGAATCGAGTACTATACAAAGTAAATTTGAAAAAATTATACCAATAGGTAACTTCGCTCTTTTCAATCTCAACAACTCGTCCGTATGTGATCGCTTGTGGTAAGAGCACACTTTTCAGTGACGTCGAAAAATCTTTTTTGAGAAAGAAAAATAGTTCTTATCTATTTCAAAAGATTGCTTTTTACAATGTTGACGTGTTGCAATGTAAAAAGTTGAGTTGAGTTGTACAAAGTGAATGTTTTTTTATTTTAATTTTTTCTGCGTCAAAGGCATCTTTCTGAAATTGATTATTCCTCTGCATCTGGCAAAGATTTTCCAACGTCACAGGGAAGTTTGCTTTTACCGCAAACGACTGCAGAAGTATTTATTTATTGTTATAAGAAGCGGTCGAATTATTCTAAAGTACCTATGAGATTACTATAAACATACATTCTCTGTATATATTGTGAAGAATATTTTGTTTGTCACACTAAAATATAAGTATTTTTTGATAAAACTATGAAAAATTCAATTATAGTACAATATAATAATAGCATACATAAGAATTAGCATAATTAGAAATATATATATTAACTCAACAGAATTTTGTTACATACATTGTGACGTGCGAGGGTCTGGGCCCTAGCTCATGCTTGGCCTGCCGTCTAATTATTTCTTACTGAGACTCCGGTTAGCCTATCTTTGAGTCTTACCTCAGAAGGGGTCGAACCGCCAACAAGCACGCCGCGAGCGTCGGCAGTCCAAGCTGAAAATAAGTGAGAAAGGTTCGCGAACAGACTACGCAAAATGTACCTTTGCACATAAATACTTGTTTCTTTATTTAATTCAACCTTCAACTCGCACCCATACAACCATCCCTTCATTTGCGCTTCGTTTCGCTACCTCGTATCTTCACTCGTGATTACCATCGTAGCACGCCACGGACATAATTGATCATACGCGAGTCCAACGGGAAAACGCGCGGATTTCAACGCTAGTCCGACGCGAGTCCCAGCCAAGTTCCGCGTAATTGCACTGTGCGCAATCGGCTCGTTTTTCCGAAATACGGTCGACGCTTTCGCTCTGCTCGCGCTAGCAGACGCGCGATTTGGTCACACACGACGAAGACGAAACGCGCTAACTCGCTTGCTCTCACAGGAGCGTCCAAGGCGGAAGTACCGCTTTGCAAAAATGGCCACGCGCCGGCCTGAAACGCGACACGTGGACTCGAACCACGTCTTGATTGTCCAAGGTACTCGCTACAATTACTCCGATTTCCACGACTAATACACAACGATTCTACGGCGAAACTCTTAATTTCCACTCATACATTCACACTGCGCAATCTCACACACTCTCTCGCATCCACGCGACCGACCAAGTGTATTACAATTTGCGACCTTATCTTCGCTCTTATGCCTCGGCCTTCGTTCCTCGATGTCGTCTTCCGCTGTCCCCTAGCTGCTCGTAGTGAAACTCCATACCACTAAAAGGAAAAAATAAAGATCATTTGCCAGTCTTCTGGAAGTCAAACAAAACCGCGTGGGTGACACAGAAAAATTTCGAGGAATGGCTAAAAAATTCATTTATTAAAGAAGTAAAAAATTTTTTGAGTCAAAAAAATTAAGCATTTAAAGTGTTGCTCACGCTAGATAATTGCAAAAGTCATGTCATAACTCTCGAAGAATCAGGCTTTAAAATGATGTTTTTTCCCCCTAACACAATTTCTTTAATTCAACCGATGGATCAAACAATAATAGCGACTTTTAAATCCTATTATTAAAGACGAGTCATGGCAAAAATGGTGGAAAGTATAAATAACTATCAGACTCGTGACGACCTAGAAGCAATGCACGTTGTAAAACAATTTTGGAAAAATTTAACGATTCTGGACACTATCACAATTGTTGACGAATCTTGGAAAGAAGTGAAACAATCGTCCTTAAATCGTTGTTGGAGAAAAGTTTTACCTGATGTCGTATCGAAGGATCTATCTGAAGAAAATCAAGACAACCAAGAAACAGTAGGCAGCATTATAAATTTAGCAAGAAATGTAGGTAGAGAGGGATTCAACGATATGCAAGATCATGAAATTTTTGCTGAGCTGGGCTAGAAAAAGCCGAGAAAGCTGAGAAAGCTGAGAAAACTGAGGAAGCTGAAAAAGCCTAGAAAACTAAGAAAACTGAGGAATCTGAAAAAGCCGAGAAAGCTAAGAAAGCTGAGAAAGCTAAGAAAGCTGAGGAAGCTTAAAAAGCCGAGAAAGTAGAGAAAGCTGAGAAAGCTGAGAAAGCTAAGAAAGCTGAGGAAGCTGAAAAAGCCGAGATAACTGAGAAAACTGGGCAAGCCGAATAAGCCGAGATAGCTGAGGAAATTTTCTGAAGCTGATGAAGTTGAGGAAAACTGGGAAATCTGAAAATTGTAAAAATCTTGAAAATTATGAAAAATATCGAAAATGATCTCGATGTTTTGAAATTTTTGAAAAGCTCCTTTATTTCAAGTTTTTTCGGAGAATAAAATAATTTCAAAAATCGTAGGTATTTTGAAAGTTCCGAGAATTTCTTAATTTTAATGCAAAGGTCGCAGAAAAATCCGAAAAGTGTAAAAAAATCTTGAAAATCACGAATGTTTCGATGATCTTGAAATACTCAAAAATGTTGGAAACAACTACTGCCCGATAAAGTTTTGTAGTAGATCTTAAAGTTTAACACAATGTAGACAACAATGTGTGGCAAAAAACCTGCAAAAAAGGTAAAAAATAGGCCTAAAATGCCTAAAATCACCAAAAACAGCCATTTTCAGACCTATTCATGTAGTCGATGTCTGAACGCTGGCTATACACACATCGCATAATAATATCTACATTGCACATAGTATCGTACTCAACTATAGTTGAAAAATACATCTGTGACTAATATTTATTTTAATATCTTTCTTATTACTATATAGTAGAGAGGATGTGGTTCGCTTGCTCCCCAAAATTTCCACCTGCTCCCCCACAATTTTTTCAAAAATGTGAAATTCACGTGATTTTTACATGATTTTCGGTGTTCTTCCCCGTATAAATTATTACTGCTCCCCAAAAATTCCACTGCTCCCCACTGCTCCCCCACTGCTCCCCCACTGCTCCTCCACTGCTCCTCCACCGTAAATCCACCGGATATGTGACAGGTATTTTTATAACAATAACGTATATCACGTATAATAATACAAAGGTACTTTTATAATAAGCGACAAAAAATTTCCAAGAAATCAAAAAAAAATCGTGTCGTGATACGATCAGTCCAGGAGCGGGCTACCTTCCCGTAAGACACTATAGGTAAATGATTAGAATAAGGTGTTATCGATGGATTTTGACTCGCTGAACCCAAATTTGGTAATTAATGTTGGCTGCAAGTGTACTCTGTGGTTAAAAACCCATTTGTTTAAAAAAATTACTAAAATGGTCGAATATGGATTTTTAAACATCATATTCGTATTCTAAAAAAATTTTTAAGAAAAAAATGTCACTTGTGATTTTTCTCTAAAATGCATATTTATCGTTAGGTAATCCTTAGAAATCTTGAAAAAAAAACTACAAGACTTTGCATAGAGATGTCCGAAGAATAATAAAAAGCGCTCACATCATCGAAAATATTTTTTTTCATGTTATTACACGCAATCAAATATCACGAAATTAGCGTTTTTCTCATTTTCATTGGCTCATAACTCGATAAATATGCATTTTAGAGAAAAATCACAAGGAACATTTTTCTCAAAAAATTTTTGGTAGAACACGAACATGATGTTTAAAGATCCATATTCGACCATTTTGGTAATTTAATTAAACAAATGGATTTTTGACGATATGGTACCACTCAGAGCTAAAATTAACCAACAAATTCGTGCGTCAAAATTGATCGATAACACCTTTTTAACACTGCGTGCGCGAAACACGGGTTTTCTAACCTTAAAGCGTCAGAAAACCCTAGTTTCTCGCAAGCAGAGTGCCGTGTGTGACATCCTCTCAAAATTTAACGTAGGGACACGAACGAGAATCCGGCGCACCCGAGCACGTCTGCAGAGCCGAGTACGTCAACGCCGCACAAGGTAAAAAAAATTACACTAAGTCACATTCATCACATCCACCCATCACAGGTTACGACGCCTGATCAAGCCTCTTTCTAAGAGTAATCAGCGAGTAACCGATGAGTTGCTGCTTCACTCAAGAATATTAATTAAATTCATTTGTATTTCTTTTCCGACAATAGTAATTTCTATAATTTACACTTTCAATAAAACATAATTATTCGTTCACATAATACTCTGATATTCATAGTTATTTCACGGTCCTTCTGACCCATTTAATTCATACATATTTATTTTTCATGTAATTATTTAGTGCGAGTCACCAACACAAAATCTCCGAGCGTCTTACCCATCGCGCTCCGCGCATAGCATATTCTCTCTCCCTCTCTCACGTTCGTTTTTGAGAGCGGACAAGTACTTGTAATTTCAGTTTCTTACGCGCGCGTACTTGTAACGTAGCTTAGAAACCTGCGTCGCTCGCATAAGAAACGCCTCAATGGCTTTTCGCAAGCTACCAAATTGTCTGTAATGGAGACTCAGTTACCAAACTTTATCAGAAGTTGTATTTTGGTGTATCGATGAACATATCACAATATGGGCCAATTTGAGGCATACGAATATATTTATTTTTCGACTTTGATGGTCTTTTACACTATTTTTTCAATTTTAAGGGGGTTTGAGCTTATGAATATCTCATCTAAAAACAGATTTTAGTTCTACATCAAATTTTACATGAAAATACATGGTTCAAAAATTTTTTCATATGCATCCCAAAAAAGCAGAGTAACAAGCAGAATATCCTCAAAACATGAAAATCCAACTTTGAGCTCCTGTAGATCCATTAGGGTTGGACCTAGGGGGCTGTGGTGTTCAGGATTTTCATTTTTCATTGTGTTCTTGAAGAGTAAATGGTTAGTTTCAACTTCATTTTTTGGGCCTGCAACATCTGTTGTGGAATAGCCCATATAACAGGGTGATATTAAAATTTTTTCATGATCGCTTCTGTGATTACCTTGAAAATTTTTGAAGCTGATTACCCTAATTACCATGGTCCATCTA